CAGGAAAGGGGGCAAGTGTAAGGTTGGCAATGCACTGGCAGATGACAGAGACATGTATTTTCAACCAAGACTGAAGCTACTTCCAGGCTTCTCTATAGAGAGATAGCTGCAAAAGGCAAACTGCAAACACAACAACGAATGCATTTCGGCAGCGATCAACACATGGCCATTGTAAGGACCAATTTTCATCACTCCTGTGCTCTAAGCTCTAAATTAAGTTGGGTAGCTGTGTGGGCAGTTCGATGGAAACATTGGTCTTTGCCCACCTAGAGATTAAAAAAAAAAATCATAAATGAAGAAAACATCCAAATGAATGAAGAATATATCACAAGAGGCCATTTTACAAATCAGCAAGATGCTCGCAAACATTTATAGATCTCATCACCTAGTCTGGAAGCAGGACACACCGAGGATGAAAATGAATTTAAAAATGGGAAGTAGAAATAGTCAAAACCATAGAAAAGCTTCACAGAGAGTGGGACAACATGCAGCTAAAGTAGGAACAAATCAGAAAGACTCGGCAAAGAAACGAAATTGCTGAAAGCAGAGAGGTGAAAACAAGAGTTCAGGAAAGATAGACAATGACTGGAAACCCATTCCACTGTGTTCTGAGTCAAGAGGAGGATATTGGAGAGAGTTGTGTGAAGTGGACAAGCATGTGGACTAAGACCACCCTCCTAAGACGTAGTAACCAAGGAGAAAGATAAGGTAGCTCCAGACTGCAGGACAGAAATAGAGAACAGAGAAATAAAGAAAGATCAAAGAGTGGCAACTGCAGAAGAAAATGCCTTTTCAAATGATGAGTACACCTCCACAGAAGAAGAACATCAGGTATTGAAGAAGAGATGTCTTTCTGTTCTGCATTTGCTCACGCAGCGCAGTGGGATCCTATCTATGTGCTTGGCACTGCTGCAATTAAAACAACAGCAAAAGCAATATTATTGAGATAGAAGAACTACCAAAAATAAAGCTAGCCAGCAATACATGCTCAGGGCTCAATACCAGAAAATTACCAATGTGGATATTTTCTTCCACTTCCACGCTCAAAATGGTTAGCATGCAGCCTGTAGGTATGAAAAAGAGAGCAACACAAAATCCATCACATGTAAGAGCATTTAGGGATGAGTGAGAGGCTCTTGCTCACTAAGCGGCTGGAATGTAGTTAAATAGGCACCTATTTAAGAGCCTCCTGTGCTGCCCCGAATGTTTCAAGGCCTCAGGATTACATTCCACTGCAGTCTGCTGACAATGTCACCAACAAATATGTGGGGACAACTGCCACATCCCACCCTTACACAGTTAACCAGAACCTGCCTACCTGGAGGGCTGGGGAAGGAACAGAGAAAACCCCACTAGGGTCTCTGACCGAGTCGCATCAGTATACAAGGTTTCACTTACTATGCTTTAATTTTAAGGTGCACAAAGCTCAGTCTCTGCCCTCCAGGCACTCGATGCCCTCAGTTCCACTCCTTTATCCAGCAGCTATAAACTGTGATTTGAGGATATGACAATGAACTGAGTGAACTGTTGGTTGCTTAACTGAGGACCAGCGTGTCGAGTACCACAAGTGCACTTCCAGCACTGCCTCTGTGGGATGTAACATCCCCATGAAATATTAAGGGAATGTCTAACCATTAAAAGGCTGCAAAACAGCTTGAGAGTACGAACTGGCAGCCAAGTGGTTAAGAAAAGTGAAGAAGCTTCATGTTTTCAAAGCCACATTACAGCGGAAGAAGGGCAGAGAAAGCAGGCAATAGTAGCAATATGAACGAAAGAGGTAGCTACAGTCTTAGCATTTATTTGTAACTTTTCAGGTATGCTCTTCCAGGCCAAAAACAAAACACCAGCTCGTGCAAATGCTCCTACAGCCCAGAAGCTACGAGGATGAAGACACACAGAAAGACAACTTAGAGCACAAATGCAAAGAACGCAGATTTACATTGTGAGGGGCAGCAACTGGAAAGGCACCCTGTTTGTCAGGGCAGAACAGTGGAAAATGGTGACTACCCATAAGATGATGCCATAAGAACCTTAACTGAAAGGGCTCTTTTGCACCTTTACTGCCTTGGCCTATGGCAAGATGGGTCACGAGAAGACATTTCCAGGCTTTTCAGAAGCAGCCTAATAATCAGAGCACAAATAGAGCAAAAAAAATGCACGCCAGGCTGTCTCCTGATACAGCTGGTAGGATAGGTGGAATTCATGGTAGGTGGAATGGTAGGTACCTTCCCCCAAGGTCCACTTCCAATGGCACAGAGGAGGGAAAGGGCCATGCACAAGATCGTGTATGCCAGGAAATAAAGGAGTCACATCAGAATTGACTTTCTAGTGCAACAGTGCTATCTGTTAAAGGTAATCAGATCACTACTGAAACAGTAATACTTTCAAACAGGGAGGAATCCACCTTCCTGGTTTGAGTCAACTCCCACCTCCCTTGTGATGGTCACCAGTAGCTCCAGCTAGTCTCAGAGAGTTATCCCCTCATGCTAACTGCCAGAGACTGAGATGCTTCTTACATTAATGTTTGTAAAGTGCTTTGCAGAGATAAAGCTCTACCTAAGTGCTACGTGTTAGTACTACTCACTTTCTGCCAATGTTTAAAGCAGAAATGAACTCATTTTCCTCAGTCTACCAACCTGTCAAGAAGTCCATGAGATGGCCAGCTACGCTCAATCTCCAAACTACCTTTCCTCCCTCAGAACTATCCAGCTTATTGTTTGCATTCCTGGCCATCACTTTTTCTGTCTTTCTTGGCTATTTGCAGCAATTCAGCCTTATCCTGTGTCTGCAACAGTGAATGATCTGATGGCACTTACACAGCTGTTCTATACAAGTTCCTGAACCACAGAAGCTCTCAGCGGGGGAATAAAACACCCTGCTCTTTTCTCAGGGACCTGCCAAGAAAAAAAAAAAAAAGTGAATGTTTTGTTGCTCAGAATGAGATACATTTTCTTTTACAAAGTATTCAGAATGCAGAGGGGCTTATCACCTTCATGAAGTTATAGAGGAGGTCACACTTTGGATCTGAACCAGAGAGGAGATTTTACCATGGTTTTGACCATGTTCTACTCCCTATTTGACAAAGCTCCTGCACTTCTAAAGGCCCTGTAATTTGTAAGGAATAGAGGATACAGCATCCTAAACTGAATTGTTGCAAGGGACATCCATACGTGGACACAGAGTCCAGTTCAGCATTTCTGTGCACCTGCTGAAGACATTTACATCAATGCCCGGCGGATATAAAGTGCTACTGTTCTGATGTGATGGCATCTGATACCACTCTTGCTCCGCTTGTAAAGCACCCGAGACAGCAGAGTCCAGACCCCTGGCCAGGACTTCTAGTTACTACTTGACGAACACAGCTAGAGCCTATGGATAGCAAGAGCGCAGGGAGTTCTCCTGAATGGCTGGACTAAGCTCATGGGAAGCACAGCATCTTCCCACGATGGAAATACCACAGTAAAAGAGGAGGGAAGAGGGCAGTAACATGGACACAGTAAGAAAATTAATGAGGAATTTCTTTTCCAGTGAGGGAGGTCAGAGCTCCCGTGAGACTGATTGGCAATTCTGTTGAGCTTTGAGCGTGTTTTGTTAGTTAAAGGATTTCTGCAGGTCACAGCATATTTAACTTTCTAGATAGATAGTTTCTCTCCCGTCTCCATTATCCGAAAATTCCTACCATAGAGCAGCTCTGCTAGACTTCTCCAGTCGCAGCAGCGCTCGGGCAGCTTTTCCAGGTATGGTAAAACCAGGTATGGTTGGGCTATGCAATGCATTGTCATGCAGTGGGGAGGCAGAGAAGGGAGGCCAGGTGAGAGATGCATGCAGCTTCCCCTCGTTTTCGATCCTAGGGGTTCTCCCATCACCCTATCCCTGCTTTAGAAACAGGGGCCTTGCAATCCTACCAATGTCTGCACATCCTCTCTCCCCTAAAATCCCAGAGGGAATGGCTCAGGAGGAGAGAATGAACATGCTTTTTGTTTAGGGAAAACTTTCCTGTTTGTGTAATAAATACCTTCTAAAACGCTTAGCAGCTCTGTAAACATACAAGAGATTGCAATACTTAGTAGAAGTTCAACTTTTCCCTGAACGCTCAATGACAGAGGCTGGCACTGATCTGCAATTACTGCACGCAGGTGGTGTGAGGACCCATCAGGGTCCTGCAGAGGCTCCCAGGCTCCACGGGGGCCTGGCAAATAACAGTGGGTGCTGACAAGCCTTTTAAAGGGTGAGGCTGATCCATCCATGCAGCTCCGAGATGAAAATCCTGCCAGTCCTGTGGGAACGTTGCCAGCTCAGAGTGGTCCAGGGAACTGCGACGTGATGATGGTGACATCCAGGAGAGCTCCTTCTGGCAAAGGAGGGAACGTGACAGAGCTCTGGCTCTCCAGAACACAGTTTCCTTTCCTCTCAGAAGAAGGCTGGTGGTCCCTGAGCACAGAAATACTCAGGAGGGAGAAAGCACAGTGCCAGTCTGACTCTTGCTGTGCCTGGCCAGGGAAGGGGAGACTGCATTTAGGGAGAATACAGTCCCAATGGCTTTAAAATGGGAGAGCGTCCTACAAAAACAATCCCCATGGAAGTGTGGCGAATTGGATCTTGGGCCAGATCCAACATGTTAGTGCAACAGGGCCCAAAGTCTCAATCCGCTCATTTCCAAAACCATTGGAAATAGTACCAGGGAGGTGACCTGGTCCCCTTGCTTCCGTCTGTACAACCTTTGAGCTTCAGAGAATCCACTCTACATCCCGTAGGATTCCCTGAAGCAGTATAACTCACTCCCACACCTCAGCAGGTGCCCTGGGGCAAGGGATCTGCCTCTTAATAGAAACCAGACATGCTAAGGTAGGGGGCTTGCATCTACCTTTAGGGACTTAGACCCTCTCAGTTTAGCAAACGTTGAGAGGCAATGCTTCTTCTCCCAAATGAAAGCATGGGATCCGAGCACAATCCGTCCTCCAGACACCACCGTGCTGGCACTGTGGCATCCCAGGAGGAATGTTTCCAGGTGTATCTTCCGACCTGAACTGCCCAACGATCAGCTTTTCCAAGCATTATCCCAGCACTCGGCCTATGGGATCAGCTCGCAGAGCCGCACCCCTTTACCCTTGCACTAGAGGGCTGAAATCATGAGGTCCTCCTGCTTTGCAGGGCTGGTTACGTGCCCAGAGGGGGTGGAAGTCCGGATTTTGTCAGTGGCCAGGCACTCCTGGCTGCTCACACCTGTGGGAGTGATATCCATGAGTTCTCCGGATGAGCTAAGGGGGAATGAGGGTGAGACAGAGATGCCCGACGAAGGATCTGTTGAACCTGCAAACAACCTTGGGGGCTTTGGGACTAAGTTGGGCTCATATTGTGCCCTTAACAGGATCTCCTGGTCACTGACAGACTTGGGCATCTCCGCAAAGTCACTGGAGCTGTCTGACACCATCATGCAGTAGATGTCCTGGAAGGAGCTGCTTTTGCTATCCAAATTAAAGAGGCTGTCTATGAACTCAGCAAACTCCAGGACTTGGGGACTGGGAACGTCAGCGAGCCGTCCGTTCTGGAGGGCCGGCTCCTCGCGAGGGGCTAAAGAAACGTGGTCCCCCTCGCTGCTGGCCCCCTCCTGGCTGCAGCGACGCTGCGGGGTGGTACCCCCGCTGTTGAGCACAGTGTCTGGGGCCTGAGTCTCCTGGGAGTGTTTGGAAAGGCTGTCAGCAGCCAGCAGCTCTGTTCGCGAGCTGAGGGAGGGGTTCTCCTCGGGGATAGCAGGGTCGATATAAAAGCAGTGCGTCTCGTCCTTCTCCATGACTGCATGGAGGCTGGGGGAGCCACGGATACTCCGAAAACCAGAGGAACGCCTCGAGTCAAAGCTGTAGATGGATTCATTATCCGAGAGGCTCTCCATGGTCGCCAGAGGGGCACGACGGTCCTGCAGCTCCACAGACAGACGCTCCTTTGTGTCCAGCAGGAGAAGCTCCACGGGGTCTTTCTGCACAGGCCAAAGTGCCTTTGTCTCATAAAATCCCTCCAGGCTAATTTCAGAATGAGACTTGCTCCTGCAAAGAGAAACGGGGACGACATGAGTTTGTATCACTCCTTAGGGAGCCACAAGCTGCCAAAACAGCCAGAGGAAGCAAGTCATGGGCACAGACCTTCCATGCACACGGGGGCTGCAGGAGGCCGTCTCATACAACCACAGGAGATGTCGCTTTCATTTCTCCCTCCTCCCTGCTGAAAGCTGAGCCCCCGCCCAACAATTCTACCCCTACCCTTCTCCGTGAATCTAACTCCTAACGAGCTCAGCTACCATTGTCAATGGCAGACTTTAAAATAGGTAAAGAACACAGGCCACAGCTCTGCAGAGAAAGACCTGGGCATCGTGGTGGACAAGTTGACCATGAGGCAGCAGTGTGCCCTCATGGCCAAGAAGGCCAATGGGATCCTGGGGTGCGTTAAGAGGAGCGTCTCCAGGAGGTCGAGGGAGGTGATCCTGCCCCTCTACTCAGCCCTGGTGAGGCCACATCTAGAGTATTGTGTCCAGTTCTGGGCCCCACAGTACAAGAGGGATGTGGAGCTGCTGGAGAGAGTCCAGCGCAGGGCTACAAGGATGATCAGGGGCCTGGAACATCTGCCCTATGAGGAGAGGCTGAGGGAGCTAGGCCTGTTCAGCCTGGAGAAGAGAAGGCTGAGAGGGGATCTGATCAGTGTCTATAAGTACCTCAAGGGAGGAAGTGAGGAGGATGGTGCTGGCCTCTTTTTAGTGGTGGCCACCAACAGAACTAGAGGAAACGGCTGGAAACTGAAGCACCAAAAGTTCCACAGGAACTTAAGGAAAAAATTCTTGACAGTGAGGGTGCCAGAGCACTGGAACAGGCTGCCCAGAGAGGTTGTGGAGTCTCCTTCCCTGGACATCTTCAAACCCCGCCTGGATGCAGTCCTGTGCCACGTGCTCTAGGTGACCCTGCATTGGACTAGATGACCCCAAAGGTCCCTTCCAACCTTAAGCATTCTGTGATTCTATGATTAGCAATTTACTCAGAGGTAAAGATCTTTAGGAAGACTCCAGTAACACTAAGACTTTTATAGATCACACAGGCTCCTCCTGACACAGATACAGGAAAGATACAGGAAAACAGCCTACACAAAACCTGAAATTACTGGCAGTCACAAAACGCCTGCCTTAAAAACAGAAATATCTGGGACAAAAACCTGGTCTTAGGAAAGGGCTGCTGCAGCTGTCAAAAGGCACAGGACAACTGATGTCTAGGGAAAGGCTTTTAACAATATTTGATCCAACTGATATTTCAACAGAGTAGACTGTAACATGTGCAGAGCTGGCTTTGCTAAGGTATATGAAAAGGTTTCAAGTACCCTTGAAAGAGGTAAAGAGGGAATCCAACACAGTAATGGATCTTGAATTAAACACAGCCAAATTATAAATCTTCCCCATTTAATACTTTCCCAGAGCCTCTTTACCCTCTCCCTGACCTCCTTCCCCTCCACTTCTCACAAGAATCCCCCTCTGCTTTACTCACCTCCAGATGAAGCAATTCCTTAGGCTATTTCGCTCCAGGGTTTGCTCTGGCTATGACATGGAAACCACTCTCCTCCTCCCTGCTGCTTGACCTAATCCATCTTCTTGGATTTATTAACATGAGTTGCTCCCTCCTCTTCCTGTTTCGGTGCTGTCATTCTGCTCCTGTCTAAGCTCTCCTTTGCTGTCTGGCCATCGCTCGCTCTCTCTGTGACAAGAACCTTACTCTTTTCATATTCTTGACTGTCTTCTCTCTCATCTTGTCTTTAAATTTACACCTCACTCATATTAGCTCAAGATGTGTATCGTCGTCAGCACAGATCATCTCATCCTGCCTCTTCCCACATCCTACTCAGACATTGCACAGCTTTTCTTTCAGTCTATTTACTCAAAATCTCCAAAGCAGAAGTTTCCCTTGAAAAGAAACAAACCTCTCTCAACACAATGCCATCTTCTGTTTCCACCTCTGACTCCCATTTATTATCTCCAGCTATGGACCATCTTCCTTCTCATCTTCTCAGATTTGTTCTGTTTGTAAATTTGCCTTACGTAGTGCATTCCTGTGCTGCAAGTCATGTGCTCCATCTTAAAATGTTGAAACATATCTTTGTTCATATTTTTATATTTATTTTGTAGGCCTCCTGTAAATCTTTGGCCCTCTTCAGTACCTCAAACCTTATCTGAAAACATGCAAGGAGCCTTTCTGCCAATTTGAAGAGGAGGACTGTTCATATCAAATAGAAACCATGAGCTTGTCCTCACACCAATCCTTCGCACACCCACTAGATGTACTACCCAGCCTCTACCTTACGGTCACTGCCAGCATGTTTATGTCACTACTCAATGGGCCAGTTTTCATAAAATAATCCCTGCAGGAATGTTTTTCATAGCACTCCTTTCTCCCTTGCTTGCTTTCCACTGGACTGGGGCTCTTCTTCACAAACAATATCAATTACTTTCCCTTCACGTTGACGTTGCCTTCATTCTTATCCCATCCTGCTGGCCGAGAGACCTGTACCTGTGTTCCCAGAAACTCCTGTTTATAATATTCCAAGTTACATATCATAAAGAAGCATCAAGTGCACTATTTTCTAATAAGCTTATGGCATCCACTTTTGAGAATCACCACATTGCACATCTTTGAACACACAATTGAACACAAGAAAATGGAGATTTTGCTGCAAGATTGCAAGCTGTGACTTTGTGGTTCCAGGGAAAACCCTAGTAGCCTTGATAAGTGAAAAGTTTCTATACCTTCTCTTCTAGATCCTCCTGACCCTTGCTGCATCAACAGGTTCTTCAGCAAGACCCAAGGTTCTTTTTTACCTCAAACATGGCCAAGATACACCGAAGCTAAGTAAAAGTACCACATAGGCCGGCCTTGGATCTGTCCTTCCCACAAATGTTGATCTTAATCCCCCAAGAGGCAGAGGATCCACCCCGAGAGCTAGTACACCTCTTAAGAAATCAGAGATATGTCCTTACTTAGTACTGCTGTTTCTTCTGTCCACTGTTATGGCTCCAGTTCCAATCTGTATTGAGGGTCCACTAGGCAAGGGCTGACTCTGGAAGATCAGCTCTGGGGTTAGATCCACTTCTGTAGGACTCACCATTACTTTGGCTGCAGACAGTAAAGCTGTTTTCCCCTTGTTGTAATTCTCCAGAACCTATTCAAAGTAAGCAAAGAAACAGTAGTGCTTTACTGAAGATAATAGTCTCACTCTTCTCAACTCAGACCTGTCAGGAAACTGCTAGGTTTGCCCACAACCTGTCAGAGCGCCCCATCAGAAAATCAGCACTGAGGAGGTGACCAAAACTGTTGCCAGAAGCAGCCTTGATGCTAAATCTATGAGTTGCATCGCTTAGAACTGCGTAGCTCAGGGGCAAAGACATTCCTGCAAGCACTGTGCATAAGCTCAGACATCCCCACGGGGTCACAGAGGGGCAAGAGCAGCAGGCTATAAGATTTTTGAAGCCCCCATTCCACCCTCACAGCAACACACAGACACCTAGTTCCAAAACAGCTCGCTAGATTCCACCTGAAGCACAACCCGAAATGAGCAGGTTCTGAGAGAGGGAATGAAACACCAGCCAATCTCTCATAACCGGGGCATGATATTTGGAAAGAGGGCTCAGTTTAGCACACTGGTATTGGGATGAAGATGTACATCCAATTTCCATATCTCATTGGATATGGATATTTACATTTGACACTAATAGCTTGTGCAGCACAGTACAACCTTCTCTCTCTCTCCTCACAAAATAAATGGTATTGCGTGCTTAAATAGCCAGTTCTGCCAGGCAAAGACCACCTTCTTTGTGTTCATAAAGGCCTGTGACAAGGCACCAATTCCAATAACAGCATCTAAGTGCTTTTGCAGTAAAAATTAATACAACTTGTTACCTTGTTGAGTCCTTCCATGACCACATATGGGAGGTGTTCATGCAGCATCGCCGGTGAGATGATCACTTCATTAAATGCCTTATTGTCACCCCAGATAGCAAAGTAAGTGGGATCTTCTTGCTCACAGCAACTAGAAGAGGAATTGGAATCCAAAAAGAGCAGAGAATAGGGAGCAGGGGGTGAAAGAGCAGGCCAATATTTTGGTATACCAAAGTAAGAAAGAGGAAAAAAAGACAGAAAGGAAATACTACAGAACACATGCTACTGCCATTGCTCCAGGAGTCTGCCCCAGAGATATGAGTATCTTCCCATCCTCACAGCACAGACACAGTCACCAGAAATTACGGAGTGGAAAAAAATCCACTCCCTCCTACACCGATTCATCTACTGGGAAGTCTTTTCCAAAAGTGAATTTTCCCTCCCGGCCACGGCCTGGCTTCCCAGCTCTGCCCATGCTCACCAGCACTGCTCTGCAGGGTGGTTGTGCACCACGTGGATGATGCGGCCGGGCGGGTAGAGCGGAGTGCTGGCCGACAGGGCGATGGTCAGATCGCTGGGATGGGTCCAGAGGCGGTTACTGGTTACGGAATTTTCTTCCGTCTCTTCAGGGAGCTCTGACTTCGGGATGCACTTGGTAGCACCCACAATGATTCGCCACTGTCCAGCACAAGAAAGGGGAGAAATAAAATGGAGGAAAGGGAAGGATTCAGAGAAAAGCAAAACGATATTACCAGAGATTGTTAGGTAGGTTTATCGAAAAGGAATACCTGAAAAGAATGGGGCTTGTGCCTCTGGTTCCTTAATCATGTACCCAAAGATGGAAACCCTGCCCTGAAAGAAAAGTTGTTCCTTCCTCCTTTCCTCTCCCAATTTTAACCCTAAAGACAGCAAAATCTTGTCTTTCCTTTTTTGGTTGGAAGCTTTCTTAGAGTTAGGAACCTAGAGCAATGACATTTTTGTCCCCCAGATAATAACATACCAAACCTTCTAAAATAAAGAAGTAGACAAAATCTGAATTTTTGATGCTTAAAAATAAGCAAAAGACTATACAACATAGCCAGACAAAAAATCCCTTTAGCACTGAAAGAAATCCCCCTAAAAAACAAAAACCCACTAAAATCCGCACGCTGAACCACAAAAAAAAAAAAACAAATACAAAATGCTAACAAGAAAAGTAAATGTAAATTCACACTTTTTTTAAAAAAATCTCTACAGACTATTTTTATAATATTTTACCCATGAAACTTAAAATCTTCCAGCTTTTCTGCCTCAGTGTGACAGTCAAGAAGCCTGAGCTGGAGCAACTCTGCATACATACCTCAAAACTGCTGACAAGCTGCTTACCCTAGAACGGCATTATCCAGTCAGCACGCAGCTGTGTCCATATAAACTCACAACTGCTGTACTTCCAGGTCTGTTACCAACAAGAAAAAGCTACAGCTTTTTTTTCTGGAACACAGACCTCAAAGCAAATTCGGGTGAGAAAATGGCCTGCTCAGTTGCTTTAGGTCTGTGGCACTGAACTTACAGCATGTGAACCAGAATCATTACACAGAGCTACAACCATAGGGCTACAGAGTATAGCCCGAAGCTCTGAGCACTCCAGCTGCCTTCCAGCTCTTGTCATCACCCCACTGGTTACCTAGACAGTAGCCACGTGGACCTGAGCAGATCTGGGGGCTGGAGAAATCTGCAGTGTTGCTGTGGGATGCTAAGAAAATTTACTGTCGCTGTTCAGCGATTTCCATTCAGGTGTCTGTTCACCTTCATTCCTACCTTTGGTTTGTTACTTCTCTGAAGAACATCAAGCAGTTGCCGGCGAAACCCCTCTAGCTGTGAGAGACCAATCCTGAAAGACAGGGGAAGAAAGTTCTTACTTCATTTGTCAGAAAACTGCTGACAGGTAACAGAGGACAGTAGGGATACAGAGCACAGAAGAACAAGAAGTTATGCTACAAGAGGCACTATGAGAATGAAACAGTGCATCTCTGAAGCTGACTTCAGAGATGAGGTGTGATCCCCCAGCACCAGCAACCAGGGAAAGGAGGCCCCAAGAAACCACTGCAACAACAAACAAACACAAAATGTAGCAACAGAATCCGAGCAGTGAACACAGGTATGAGAGATAAAGAGGGAGATAATACAGAGGGGTAATCACAGAAATAAGCAAGCAGGAAACAATTTGGTTACAGGATGCCACTGAACAGATAAAACAGGAAGATGGAAGAGAGCTCTACGATACCACTGAACAGATCACCACATGGACAAGATTTTGTCGTACAGGTTACTCAAAGGCATACTCAAGTGGTACTCAAGTAGTACTGTAGTACTTTTCCTTCACTGAATTCTACATGCCTAACAAATAGCGTAAGTTATCTGAAGTCATGCAACGGGGTAGAGGTGAAAATAAAACCTAGGTTGCCTGGCTCCTAGTCCAAGGCCCCATTAAGGATAAATATCCCAGGAGATGATGAAAGGTGAGAAATGTCAAGACACGGGAAATTAGGGAGCTGGTTCAGAGATGTGAGATGATATGCAACAGGTGATGAGGAACAAACAGTGCAAACCACGAGCTGCCAGCATAGCTTGGGACAGAGGGTGAAGAGGGCTGACTTAACACAGGCAACCAGAGAGGCTGCACGGACATGCCAGATACTGCAATGCATGTGTTTATAGAGAGAGGATATTCACCGTTTTCTTACAGAAAGATGAGATACAGGGGAGGGATATGCTCACAGAAAGGTGTATGAAACATCTGTATACGTGTCCGTGTAAAAGATACAGCAGTTCTAGGACTAGGCAGACAAGAAAGAAACACACAAGGACGGGTAAATGAGGAAACTGGACACCGAGATGATCTGAGGGTTTCTGAGAGGAAACAGGTGACTTTAGCAAAGAAAAGTAGAACCAAGGAATTCAGAGGCTTCTCAACTTGCCTGGGCACTAGATCTTTGCCAAGTACGACTGCAGTCACAAACTCTTTTGAATACTCCATGGCATCCTCGCTGGAAGAGAAACAGGACCAAGAAGCAGCAAATAGGGTTTCACTGGCAATAAACTGCACTCCATTCACAAGTTCTGTCATGGGTCTCCGAGAGACTTTTGGACATTGCACCTTGTCATACAAACAATCTGAACTGCTCGAAGCCTTTGGGACTTGCACCTTATTAATGCTAGGCTGAAATCCACATGCTGTGCCCCAAAAAACATTACTCCTTAATGGTATAGTGAGCCCTTCCTACAGCTAGAATAGCTCCTTCCTTATTAATTTACTTGCATTTGACTCTGATACACTTGGGAAAGGAAGTACTAAAAATCTGTGGTTCATAACGATTTTCCTATAGTTTGGCAATGGCCAGGACACAAGAAAAAATATGACACATTCTTGAGACTACTCTGAAAAGAGAGTGTAGGACTAAGACGGCCACTTTCTGCAGTAACCTTAGCACCAAGATAAGAAGGAATTAAGTCTTCCATCCTATGATCTGGTTCTCCTCCAGACAACTCCCTTCCTAGAGACCTTCCTCTCAAGGGCAACCACAGGTAGAGGCCACCATGAATGACCTAGACATGATCCTGGACATCACGTACACGACAACAGCGATCAGACGTGTGGCAGTCAGAGGAACCTCCCTGAACTCTGAGGCAGTTGAGGTGCACAAGCAACCCAAGGATCTCAGGAGGGGAAGCTCTGAACAGAAAGCTGTCAACCTCCACGGGAACATTCTAGAGAACAACTTTTCTACAGCCACAGCTGGTTGTGGGTTCTGTCACAACAGGGCATACTAATGTCCAAATTCATTAGCAGGATGTCTAAAATACCCTAACTGAAGCAGGCACATATGCAGCAGCCATCACAATGGGCTTCTCGCAACATATATCTGCTTTTAAGTGCTCCCATAGTGTCTGTCATGATTAGAATGAGTTTATCTCACTCCATGGCCATAAAGAAGGATGATTTTAGTGGCTGCTACGGAATTAAATATAATTGATAGGTCTGTTCCAATTCACAACAGGAGGAATTGATTTTACCTCTCTGTAGAGGTGTATCTATCTGAGGCAGTCACCCTAGGTTTCTCCTGCAGCCAAAGGAGACAAATAAACACCAGAGAAGCACAATCCACCTGACTTATAGTAGGCATCCACTTTGTGGATAGGATAAAAGAAATCGCATCCTGAAAGTGCCCATTTCTTTCTGTCAGCAGCAAAAGGAGCCCAAACAACTAGATCCGATGCAGACCTCTATTTGTGGTCAAGAATCTCTCATTCTGCAGTCTATTCACAGAGGAGGGGGAGAAGACACTGGCACTGGCAGGGAATAATAAGGGAGGAAATCACACCCTGTTCACTACCAGTCTCCCAACTTGCATTTTCCACTAATCAGGGTAAAATTAGAGCTTTAGCCCCAGATGACTGAGTCACGAACCTGAATACTTGGATTCACAAACACCGCAACCTAAACTCCAGACTACAACACAGAACAAAGACTGGCAGCAACCCCCTCAGCTCCTGCAACTTGTGACTCTCCCGTATGCAAAGACTACCCAAGACAAAATGGAAAGCAGGATGTGATCCTGCAACAACCACAACCCCTCCCTCACCAGCCCTCCTGTACCAACACCTACCTCAGCAGCCCCCCGGGGGGAGAATATGCAAAGCACTTCAGTGAGGGGTACTGTGGACGCAAAAGGAAGGAGAGGATGGCGGCTGTGCCAGCCCCGAGGGAATGACCAACCACAATCAGGCCATAGTGTTTTGTCCCTCTGCCCTGAAAATAAAAAGCAAAGCAAGAAATGGAGATCAGACAGAAAGGAAACTCCACAGCAAACCCCCAATCTGGTCCCTTCCCCTAAGCCAGAGATGTTTCCTCAGACTGAGTTATTTGGGAATCGATAAAAATCTTCTGTTAAAACCTGAGCCCAGGTTCACAAATCTGAGCTCTCCTTCGTTCCAGAAATGATAATTTGCTCTCATTAATTTCAGAAATTTCCTGGAGCATGCTGAAAAACAGAAATCTTAACTCGCAGTTTGAGCAGGAATCATCTCAAGTGGAGATGTCCTCAACAGTCAGCAGACTTCCTCAGCTAATTCTGGGACCACACTAATCTCTCAACACTGATCTAGATCTCTGAAGCCAAGCACTATTCTTGATATTCAGAGGCTGGGCTGTTAGGCACAGCTCAAGGCATCTCTAAGTTGCCATAACACCTATTACAGTCAGTGATGTTAACACCACGGGAGAATTACACTATAAAAACCTCATTTGTTATATTTTTTTCCTCAGCATCTGCTGGCAACTGTCAGAAACAATGTACTAGGTTAGATGAAACTTTGGTATGAGTATAACCTGGGACAGAATTAATGCCCTGTTCATTCCACTTCTTCAGATCTTTCTCAAAGTCAACTTTTACACAATACTTAATTTTCTGCACAAAAGCTGTTTCTCCGTGTCTCCATCTCTCCATCCTGGCGGATCACGTCCTGTCAGTTATCTTATTCCACGGCAATTAAAAACTGGACTCACCATCTGTAATGCTAGCTTTGAACAGAACACAATACAAACTACCACACACTCAAGAGAAAGGGTGTCTCGTGTGTGATACTGTGTCACTATATCCTTGCCACTCAGGTAGCAATGACCTCTGCAGCACATCACGAAAAATTCCCTGTAAGGAACAGCTTGCTCAGTTTTCATTTTCCAGGCAGAGAGGAATAAAGCACCATACAAAGAAGGAAGGTGTCTATGTTTCTCTCCGTACGTTTAGCCAACCTTACAAGCCGGACACTTCAGTGTTAGCTTCAGATAGTTAAGTTTCTGGGAGCAAGTAAGCCGTTCATCCCACTTATCCTCTTGGATAAGTGGAGGAGAAAATGAGAGTTCCCTAAAGCCCTGGAGGAATAAGTAACAGCAGGAACTGGAAGGAAGCTCTGAGAAATTAGTATGACAAATTTAGGGACACAGAGATGGAGTTTTAACACCAGTGCTTTAGGGAAATCTCATTTTATGTATGGACTGCAAGGCTAAAAGAAAACTAATGCTCACCAGGTCCCGTCCAAAGGCTTGAGAGAGCACCATCTCTTGTTCCAATTTCTTTTTAATGTACTCGGCAGACAGCACCATTCCCTGAGAAGAGACAACAAGGCAGAGAACAAAACGTGGACAGGTTCACGTCAGGCTTAAACCACCCGAACGCTGGGCAAGCTCTGGAGTCCCACACAGAACGTGTCAGAACGGTGCATCGTTTGGCACACGTCTCACTTCCTAACAGAGCCATGGGCTATTTAGGAGGAGCAATGAACTACTTAGGAGTAACAATAGTTGTAAAGCTATGACAATACTCCAAGGCCCTATTTCTAGACTGAATGAACAGCTTGGAAAAAAAAATCGCTTCTTGAACATAAGATTTTGTATCTGGTAGTTCAGTTCATGCTGGGAGCTGTCACAGGGCAGGGAGCTTTGATTTTTGGCAGTGTCTGAGTCTTAACTACAAAACTCTACACTCTTATTTAAATCTGTGAATGAAAGCATGAACTAGCCTTACAAGTTTACAGAGAAATAACGCAAATGCCAAGACCCTACTTGTGAAAATGCTACTTGGAAAAAGCGGCAGAACTACCTGGATAGGGAGGAGTCACTGGTCCCTGGAGCAGGCAGAGGAATAGGTGCATTCAGCTGGCCAAAACCCTAGCTGCAAATTACTAGAGACATTTCTTTCAAAGAAACTAAGAATTGATAAGAAACTAAGAAAGAAATTAAGAACTGATGGTTCTTAGTCATCAGTTAAGATTTTTTAAAAAAGATCATTTTTTTTTTTAGCCCATTTTTAAACATCTATCATCTCTCTGGTGCTTCCTGCATTCGAAGAGTGATTCTCACCCTGAATACATTAATTACTGATCAATTACAGTTGATCTCTGTTATAAACAAGCAACTAGAATTCAGTCTGTTGCATAAATTCTTGGTTACACCTTTGTTATAGTCTAATTCAGTGGCGGGAAAGCCTAAACTGCAAAGGCTGAAAAACAGCGATGAAATCCAAGATGAACACGGGTAGACAGAAATCAGCTATTTTCGATTTGTTCAATTTGGACTTCAAGTAATACACCCTGCCCGAGTTGGCCAAAACACAGGGAGCTTTATCTCTTCTGCTATTTTCAATTACATCTCTCCACGAAAACATTTCCATATGAAATGAACATTACTGAGCACTGTTTAATCTCACACATAAAAGGAATTCATGATCCTCGCAAGAAGCAAGGAAATGGGTTATTTTCAAAGGCTTTGGTATCAAACATAGCACCAAACCAATCTGACTATTTAAGAAAAACAGCAGAACACAGGTGATTTTGCTGAGTCTGTAAATGGGACATTTGTAATGCTATCATCGCTACCAAAAAGCAGATGTCATAATATTTCATGTCTGTGCCCAGACCTTTCAGTAGTTAGTCAGCTTCAGCTGCATTTGGAACAGGCTCCATTTCCAGCTCTAGTAAGAAATGAAAGGTAGACTACTTACATAAATTGCTAACATGGATTCAGGATGCTATTTTTGTAAAGCATGTCCTAAATCCATGGTGATGTTACTAATGAACTGGTAGTCAGCCTTGTAGCTATACCTTGATAATACATTCTAAGATAAATATTGACTTTAAAATCACAGAATCTGAGTTTCATCACTGCAAATTTGCACTTCAGCTCTCCGTTAAAGTGGATACTGTTTTATAAGGTTCCAAAGGAAAAAAAATAAATAAAATCTGGGCTTAATTTTAAAACCTGAAATGCAAATGAGGAATGCAGAGGAATTGGAGATCTATGGAAAGCAACAACAAAGGATTGTTTCTTGTTTTGCAGTTTTTGCAGTTAAAAGACACAACACTTCTTTGCAATATTAAAAAACTAAAACTACAGCTTTCTTTTTGTATAATATCACTTCAGTCCTCTCTAGCATGGAATGTCTCCAGAGTTTCCTTGCACAGAGGTATGAATACCCACAGCAGAGGAATTGGAGATCTATGGAAAGCAACAACAAAGGATTGTTTCTTGTTTTGCAGTTTTTGCAGTTAAAAGACACAACACTTCTTTGCAATATTAAAAAACTAAAACTACAGCTTTCTTTTTGTATAATATCACTTCAGTCCTCTCTAGCATGGAATGTCTCCAGAGTTTCCTTGCACAGAGGTATGAATACCCACAAAGGGTTCTATTTGGAAGAGATAATTAGGAAAAAAAAAAAAGGTTTTAAGAGTTATTGC